TTGCCTCTATTCTAAGTTGTACTATCTTTCTGTAATACCTAATACTATACCTGAAAAACAGAATAATGTAGATAAGCTCACAGGTCTGAAGTCACATGAACTTGAAGTCAAATTATATTTCCTATAATTTTTAGGAACTTTAATGCTCAGAATAGGGCCAAACATAATATTAGAAGATGGTTGGGGAGCACAAGTTGGTTGACTATGCTAGTTATAGGTTGTTTTACAATGTATTTATAGCATTTATTTTCAGTTTTACCAAAAATATTTCATAATTTTTTTCACACTGTATTTTTTTAAATGGAGAGAAAAGAAAGAAGAATAATAATTGGGACTTCATTCATAGTGTTATTATCTGCATTTTATGGGAGAAGAAACTGAGGCTCAGATTTAGTGTTTAAGGCCAAGCAGAGACAGTGCCAGAATTTATTTGCTCTGAATCCAAAGCTCTTTCCACATTTGGGGTTGACTCTTTACCTTGGTAAAGCTACACTGACCTTCAGTTATTTGTATTAACATTGAAAATAATAAAAAGAGATTTAATTAGGCTGTTAACTTCGTATTTTAGACTTTTGCTTCAACTGATCATTGAAGACACATGGAATTCAAGTCTTTTCTGTAGATAAAAATGTTAAAAATACTTTTAGATACAAATCTATGTCCTCACGACTCCTTCCCCATCCCCATGGATAGAAGTGCCTTGAAAGGCAACTATAATTTGTGAAAATGGGTTAAAATCTCAACCTAGTACCATCAAAATCAGAGCTTCAATGGCAGAAGTTAAAGATTTAGCCATTTGTTTTAGAGAGAGATTGAATGATTCTGCCTTTGTTCAGACGTCTGCTAATTAATTGCTTCTGAATGTTTGAAAAGCTGTCTCTAAAAACTAGTGATTCCCACTATTCAGAATAAAGTTCATGAGAGGAACCTCTTTCCTTTATTCTGAACTTTTAAGTATCAGCTGCTTCTGTCTGATTCCCTCTCCCTGTAGACACCACCACCGTAATGCTTCACTCGGTCATGTCTAGAATCATACAGGGCTGGGGAATGTGGTCTAAGAGATGGGTTCAGAGTGTTAAGGTCTTGTCAGATAGAAGAGATGGAGACATGGCAGCCAGGTATTCCATAAGGGCAGAATTAAGGGTCGTGGTATAGCAGTCTCCCACTGTCTGCTATAGCGCAGCAGTAATAACAACAGCTAGCATTTACTGGTAGCTTACTGTATGTCACATTCTATGCGGAACATTTTACATGTGTTCTCACAATCACCCTATAAGGTAGATATTATTATCCACTTCATTTAATAAATGAAGCAACTGAGAATCAGAGTTAAATAATTTGTCTGTGATCATACAACTAGAAATGATGTCATTGCCATGGACAAGGACCTTGATAGCATCATAATTCCTACTTACTGGTCCCAAACCCCCCTGACTCTGGATTTCAACTTTATGCTATTGCCTTTCCCGCTGTGATGTCACCCTAGACTCAAAAATATCCCTGAATGCTACCACATCTGCCTTTAGAGTTACTTTCAGACAAAGGTAGGGGTGTGTGTGTGTGTGTGTGTGTGTGTGTTTGAGAGAGAGAGAGAGAGACTTACCACAATATAGTCCTGATATGCTTCTTCCAGCAATTATAAGTATATGAGATGGTCCCAATTTTGAAAACCCCATCAAGAGAGCTCCAACTAATGAAAGAATGTTTGCTATTAACATGGCTTTGATTCTGAAATTTTAAAAAGCAAGGAATATAAATTCAGCATCAAAACTTGCTAGAATTATTTGCTTTCAGAGCATGTTGAGTTTTTTTTTTTTTTTTTTTTTTTTAACTTAAGAGAAATTATTTTAATTTTGCTGTAAAACCTAGTTGGGGAATCTTGAACCAAGATTGCTAATTTGACTCATCTATGGACTAAAGTATTAGTAATAAGCAAGATTTATGATGAAAGAACCTAGGTTGCATCCACTTGATCTCTACATGTTTCTCTTTTATTTTGAGTCAGGGTCTCGCTTGCTCTGTTACTCAGGCTGGAGTGCAAAGGCACCATCATGGTTCTTTGCAGCCTTGACCTCCCAGGCTCAAGCGCAGTCTCTACATTTTGATAGAGATGATTCAGTCACGGTGATGACTAGCTTAAGATAACACTTCTGACAGTTTTTCAAAGAGTTAACTAAGTTTTCTCTAAGTTGATTGTTTTAAAGAATAATTGCCTGGTGATAGCTAAATTCAATTCTGTAGTTGTAACCTATAACTTTTTTTTTTCTTTCAGTGGCACAGGTTTTTAATTGATCTAGATAGGAAAGGAACTTTCAAAGTTAAATTTCCTTTTGTATAAATTATTTGGAAGTAATTTAAAACTTACTTTAAGCCTTATCTAGAGAATTATAATTATCCTTATTTTAATATATGCCAGCATATTTCCAAAATCTATAAATTAATAGTGACCAGTGTAAAATACATAATAGAGCTGACAGTAGCAACAAAAACACTTTCAAAATTAATCAGATGTAAATTGACAACATTTGCAGATATCCGTTCCTTTTATTTCTAATTAATGCGAAAGCAAGGTACACAGAAAACCTTTTTTTGCAGTCAAAAAGATAATAGTAAGGCCAATAAATGTCTGAGTAGACAGGTGTGAAAATGTTTGTGCCAAAAGAAATGTAAACGTCCTTGTTATGTTCTATTTCACTGCTTCAAACTTTGATAGGTGGGCTTTTTCTATGCAAGTGTCTTTAACACCAACAGATTTTTTTTTTTTTTTCTGGAGCATAAAGCTATAAAGTCATATACTGCAGTGATTGTCTAACATCCACGTGATAGGCTAAATCATGTTTCCCAGCAGCCTACAGCATAACCCCCAGACTCTGTAAATGTTACCTCACATAGCAAATGAGATTTTGCAGATGTGATTGAGAAACTTGAGATGGGGAGATTATCTTGAATTATTTGAGTGAATCCAATGATGTAATCACAAGTGTCCTTATAAGAGTAAGGTAGAAGAGGAGCAGGTGATGTGATGACAGAAGTAGAGATTAGAATGTTGTGCTTCAAAGATGGAGGAAGGGGCCACAAGCCAGAGAATATAGTTGGTCACTGCAAGCTGGAAAAGAGCAAGGAATGCATTCTTCCTCAGAGCCTCCAGAAGGAACAGCCTTATTGACCTTTTGACTTTAGCTAACTAAAACTGAGTTTGGACTTTTGACTTCCAAGACTATGAGAAAACATATTTGTGTTGTTTTAAGCCACTAAATTGGGGATAATTCATTACAGCAGCAGTATGAAATGAGTATAGGGAAACAGAGTGTTTAGAGCTGGCTAGCCCCAGAGCTACAGAGTAGAAAAACAGTTAAGGGGTGGTTAGTAGTTTAGACTATTGTGAAATGCTTTTTGTCTACACAGGGACAGAGGGCAGGCAAATTCAATAATTGACCTTAACAGGTTGTTACCACCTAGCTAATAGTCTCTTTTATTAGGGGAAAAAAGATAAAAAGTCATAAAAGAAATAGCCTGGAAGAATCTTGGATGCCAGATCACCCAAAAGTACCCTTTCCCTATCACCAAAGGATGCAGGAGCACTTTATATAATTTAAATTCTTTTAATGTCTGTTCAGATATGAGAAATGGCCACAAATAAATAATTTTAAAAATACATGAAATAGCTGAATCAGGGAAAAAGAAACTTAATTCTACCTAAATATAGTTCTTAAAATCTGACTCTAAATACTTCAGATAGTATAGGCTTCATTATTGTCGTGGTCATGGTCATTGTGGTCATCATGATCATCATCATCAAAATGAGGCCACATTTGCTGCTTGCTTAATATATGTCAGGCATTGTTTTAAACCTTTTATATTTGTTCTCATTAAATCCTCACAATAATGCCATGAGGTAGGTATTATTTTTGTTTTCACATTGCAGATGGGAGGAAAACATTTTAGAGAACCTAATAACTTGCTCATTTTCATACAGCTATTAAGTGACAGATCTTGGACTTGATCTGTGTGAAACCAAAGGGTAATGCTTCATTTTAATGAGTTCCATTTTTTATGGAAAAGAATGCATGCATTCAAAGGCAAGCTATGCATCGCTTCCTTTACTCATGGTAGTGTGGATTGCACAGACCATAGTCTTCTCTACCATACCCTGGTAATTAAACTGTAAATGCACAGGTTGAAAAAATTGGCCTTGCAAACCCAAAACTAGAAATGGTGGCCACAGACATCTATTGACTATTACACAATTGCAAGGAAATACTTTTTTTTATAAGGCAATAGTGGAAGTATTACATTTTTATTTATTTACTTTTAACTGATGGATAAATGACACTGGTAATAATGAAAATCATGTCACTTCTCAATGAATCTAGAAAGATAGTTTTATAGGGGATACTGATAACTTTTTTCTTAATTTTGATGTTGAAGTTGTGAACTTTTGGGCTGCTTTTCAAGGAGGATCATTTTTCTACTAAAAGCTAGAAGAAACCTCACTTTTTGTTTATTATAGGTCATTTGATACATGGTCATTTGATATTGTTTTGAGGTATAACCATTGTTGATGCCAAATCCTAAGACTTCAGAAGGTTTGTGTATTGGCTTCATTAAGTGTTAATTAAATATTAACACTAATTAAATGTTTTAGTTTAAGTCACTGAACTTATCAGAATCTTACCTCTAAATGAGGGGCAACCAGGGTTTACATTTTTTCTTCAGGAATGAGAAGTAGTATAAAATATCAGTAGTTGCTAAATGATTTGTTCATATTTTAAAACGTAATTTAATTTTGCTTAATTTGATTTACTTAAAAAAATTTTTTTAAATTATTTTTCCTTTTTCCTTTTGTCTGAGTCTACTTGCTAGGGAATAATTTACTTTAGAAATAAATAATTAATCTAGAGAATTCTCCACTTACTACTTAAAGCAACTTGATACACATTGAAATAATCTTTAAATTTTTTTAAATGATGAAATTCAGTTTATTAATCTGTGTTTTACAGATTCTTATTTAAAGTTCAACTGAACATCAGCAAGTTGATTAAAAGGTAAGAAACTGACCACTGGCTTTTATGGTGGAGAAAACGCCATTTCAAATAAAAATAATAATACAACTTGGGTTACCATGATATTGTAGTTAAGAAAACTTATAGTCATATTATATAAAAGCTCCAGTATAAGAGGAAGAGTTATCAGAATTTTAATAGAGAGCTAAAAATTATAATTTATAATAAGAATTTAAAAATATAAGTGAACTATAATTCAGAATTATTAAACTAGTTGCCTAAATTGTTATTTACATCTTTAAAGGCATTTTCATTTTTCTAAATTTTTCATATATTATTTTTATGAGAAAAAAGGTAATGTGCAAAAGGTGGGCTCAAATAGGAGAAAAAATAAATCTAAAAAATAATCATTTGATACTCTGGTTTTATTTCCTCTCTATATAGGATGGGAAATTCCAACAGCTGTAGTACATTGCATGAATAAGTAGAATTTGAGGGTAAAGGAGTTCCACTGATATTTTTAATCCAAAAAACCTAACAGACACCCAAGTGATAAATGGAGGTATCTCTTGCCTCATCTCTGGTTGGGGCTTTGAGATAGCAAGCAGGACCAGCAGCCAGAAACCACATACCAAGTACATTGGGCAACTGGGAGTTGGGGATATTGACTGAACCTTTGTACTTGACTGATCCAAATGCCAAATTCTAATTTAAAAAGGAAAGACTGGATGTTTGAGAAACAGTGTGATTTGGTGAAACAAACAGTGGACTCCCAGGTTAAAAACTCTAGTCTCTTCTGCTGAGTTCCTGAGTTAACCGTTTGTGTCGTGGTCTCCTAGTATATTGTATAAATTACAAAGCTAGAGGATCAAAGCAATTATCTAGAAATACACACAAAAATCACGTTTGGTAAATGTCCGAACAATTAATCAAACTTTCATTGATTTGATCTAACACTGATATGCCTCATAGGGTCATGAGTTGAAAAAACAACTCTAACGCTGTTCCGCAAGAAGAAAGATAATATTTTTCTAAACAAATGTTAAGAAAATGAAAATACGCAAGTTTCTGTTTATGCTTATTTATGAAGTTTGCCTACCTTCCAAGTGTGTCCCCAAGCCACCCACCAAAGAATGATGCAATCATTCCACCAACTGCAAAGCTGGATACAGACAGGGACCAGAGCATAGTGATTAGTTGAGCAGCTGCCACAGTCTCTTCCTCAGCCCAAGGGGTTGGTTTTGGGTTCATTGAGTATGCAATTGTGGGCAGTTCATCTGTACTGTTGGTAACATAGTTGTTGATAGCTTTTCGGTCATCCACTGGAACACCCAAAACATGTCTATAGTGAGATATTATTATCTAGGAGATAAAGAAAAATAGCTTTACTATTTCAAACATTCTATGTATTTTTGTTTGTTTTTTCTTTAAAGTGTTTGTTATGTGTTTAACTAGTACCATCTCAATTATGTGTTTTATATACATATAAACATGGATAGATTTGTTTACAGTTGGCCATATCCTATAAAATAGAGGTTATAAATTCCATTGCCAATAAGAACCAGGCAGGAACAAATAAATGAAGGGAACATGTAATACTTTGATGACTGGGAGACTAAAATACATTTTCCACTATTTGGGACTAATACGGAATGGTCAGGATTGTAGAACTGGAGAGCAGAAGGAAGCTGCAAATGTGAAACTGGTGCTGGATGACCTTTAATTTTTTAACAGAAAGTCAGAAATCTGACTTTATGTAATTATGTAAAATTTTTATGTAATTATGTAACATTTTTCAAGTTTTTTATATTGGCAACTATTGAAATTGAAACTATTCTGCAGGCTAGGCTGGGCATGGTGGCTCACACCTATAATCCCAGCACTTTGGGAGACCGAGGTGGTGGATTGCTTGAGCTCAGGAGTTTGGGACCAGGCTGGGCAACATGGTGAAACTCCGTCTCTACGAAAAATACTAAAAATTACCCAGGCATGGTGGCACACGCCTGTAGTCCCAGCTACTTGGGGGGCTGAAGCGGGAAGATTGCTTGAGCCTGGGAGATTGAGGCTGCAGTGAATCAGGATGGAGCCACTGCACTCCAGCCTGGGTGACAAAGTAAGACCTGGGTCTCAAAAAATATATATATTCTGCAGGCTAAAAAGATACATTTTCATGCTAGCATTACTTCTGCACAGCAGGATTTAAATTGACATATACATATTTTAACAGAATCATAAAAGTGGATATAAGAAAAAAGACTGGAAAAGTTAAGATGAGGGTCAAAAATAAAGTTAGCGTACAGAATTCAAACACTAGGTGGCATATCTTTGTTGGAAGTGAGCTATACATTTACCAGTAAACTTCCTAGCCACCAGGGCAAAGAGAGGAAAACAACCAGGTATATTATTGATGAATTCCTAAGATAACAATAACTTAGTGGCCCTTGAGAAGGCATTGAGACCTGAAGGAAGTTTCTCCTGTGGGTCCTCATAGAGTTAAGTTTGTAACAGAATGAAGAACATTGAAAACTAAATTTCATGGAGCCATATTTTGTAATGTGCTTCATATAATTCAGATGAATTATAGGACATGGGAGGAAGATGGCCTCATCTTCCTCTCAATGATGATTTGGTCACTATTTAGCATCAGTGAGCTGGGAGGGTACTCTCTGTAAAGGACCTGGAATGCAGCTGCTCTGGGTTACTAGTTATGGGCAAAGGCCTATTTGGTAATGCCAGCTGAGTGAGGGGAATAATTGAGCATCCTCTTATAAAAGAATTCTGATCAAGACATTTGCCTCAAGCCGGGTACCGTATCTCACGCCTGTAATCTAGCACTTTGGGAGGCTGAGGTGTGCGGATCACATGGGGTCAGGAGTTCGAGACCAGCCTGGCCAATGTAGTGAAACCCTATCTCTACTAAAAATACAATAAATTAGCCAAGCATTGTGACTGGAGCCTGTAATCTCAGCTGCTCAGGAGGCTGAGGCAGGAGAATCACTTGAACTCAGGAGGCAAAGGTTGAAGTGAAAATCTCCAGCCTGGACGGTAGAGTGAGACTTTGTCTCAAAAAACTAAAACGAAAACATTTGCCTCACTAGAAGGCTGCCTTATATGAATAATATGCATAGAAAAAAAAAGCTGGAAGGAAATATCCAAAATGTTCTCAGCAGTTTGCTCATTCTGGTAGAATAATTATGGGTATTTTTTTTTCTAATACTGTCTTCAGTAGGCATGTGTCATTTTCATAACCGTACGAAAGTGTGATTTTAAAATCCTTTCAAATAATCCTAAATGTCATTCAGCTGATAAAAAGGGGCTTAAAAATCTCTTATTTAATGGTGTTTCAGCAGCAGTTTAAACACAAAGGGAAGGGCCTGTATATAGAGAGAGCACTAACTTGGACGCCAGCATGGGGATCGCTGTTTTCAGCTCTGGCTCTGGGACTTTGATTGAAGGATGTGAAACCTTAGCCTAAGCTTCCCTTTAAGACTGGAGGGAATGGTTTAATTTTTAAAAAATTTTTTAAATTTTTATTTTTTATTATTATTATTTTGAGATGGAGTTTTGCTCTTGTTCCCCAGGCTGGAGTGCAATGGTGCAATCTCGGCTCATTGCAACCTCTGCCTCCCAGGTTCAAGTGATTCTCCTGCCTCAGCCTCCTGAGTAGCTGGGATTACAGGCATGTGCCACCACGCCCAGCTAATTTTGTATTTTTAGTAGAGCCGAGATTTCTCCATGTTGGTCAGGCTGGTCTTGAACTCCTGACCTCTGGTGATCCGCCCGCCTCAGCCTCCCAAAGTGCTGGGATTTCAGGTGTAAGCCATTGAGCCCGGCCAGGGATGGTTTAATTAATGGTGTGATAAGGTCTTCCACAAAAAGAGAAGGGGCTCTATTAATCAAGTCATGGTGATGTTGAGTGTTAAATTGTTAAATGATGTTAAATTCCAGGAAACCTGCTAAATTGGCATGTGTTGTCATCACCCACACAAAAGAGATATGACCCTCGTCTCTTGATCCCCAGCACTATGCCCTGGATCTCTTAGCCTGCCACACTCCTGATGATTGTGGCACCTAATCGGAGCACATCTTTCAGTAGGAAGCAGCCCTTTTCAGGTGATGGATTATGGTCAGCGCGTATTTCACATATCCACACCCTGCAGTATCTTTCATTTTCCCTGGGGCCTGATGTTCTAAAAGAAGCAGAGGAAATATAATGGACTTATAGAAGGCATCCAAAAAATGTTTGTACCTTCACTTTATGCCACCTCTTCCCCAAGTTCCTCTTCTCTCTTTCATTAATTCACTCCTCTTTATTGAGTACCTTCTTTATGCCAACTACTGTGCTTGGCACCAGTGATAGGAAGAGGAACAATTAATCAGTCCTGCCTTCAATGACCTCACAGTCTAGTTAGAGCAGACGGGAATGAAGTCCTGGTTCCCCGACTTATGGGCTGTGGGAACTGAGAATAACATACCTCTCCTGTGTATTCATTAAATACCAGAATAAGGATGCACAAAATATATGAGAAAAATGGTTGAAATAACTTGATTAAAAATTCACCCAAAGAGTGATCATGGAAAAAATCCAAACTTTGTTGAACTTCTTGAATATTATTCTAAAGTTTTATATTACTTTACTTTGGATCACTTATGGGAGACAGGAATGGTGGGGGAAGGACCATAATCTCTTTTAGTTTAGGGCTTCTTAAGGTTTTAATATAGACTGGAAATGGTCATAATAAGGTTGTTGGGAGGATCCAGTTGGGGAGATCATATGTTAAAGTACCTGATGCAAATAAGCAGGTGCTCAAAAAATGTGCCCTGAGTGAAACATCCTTATTCCCTGGCACTTTTCATTCATGTATAGCTGAGAGCTCTGAATGAATGTTGCAATGAGCTCTTCTTTTTTTTTTTTTTTTTTGAAGTTTCCTTTAGCACATGATATTCTGCCTGGAGTTTTCTGTGAGCTCAGCAAACAGCAGAGTCAGAGATTAAGAATTATTTATTGCCTCCTTTTTTTCTCCCCCGTGATTGTTAATTGAGGAGTCAAGGCCAAGTTATCAGCTTTGGAACAGTGCACATCGTACCTGACAGGCCAGGATGACCTTGTGTCTCCCACGTGGACACCTTTTATCTCTGTGTATGAGGAACATATGATATCTATCACTGACACAACTTGCCAAAAAGAGAACTTGTA